CAACAACAACAACAAGATTCCATTTATAGAGCGCCTTTCACGTCGGGAGGACGTCCCAAGGCGCTGGACAGTTGGGTCAGGACCCGAGCAGAGGGAAATGGTCAGGGTGAGTGGAGGGAAGGGAGGGAGCGAAGAGGGAGTAGAGAGTCGAGAGGGGAGCTGAAGGCACGGTCAAAGAGAAAGGTCTTGAGACCGGCCTTGAAGGAGAAAAGGGAGGAGGCGGCGAAGGCACTGGAGGATAGAGTTCCAGAGCCTCGGGGCTGAGAGGCTGAAGGCCCGACCACCGATGGTAGGGCGGTTGGGGCGGGGGATGTGGAGCAGACCGGAGCCAGAGGAACGGAGGGTACGGGCAGGTAAGTAGGGGGATAGTAGGTCAGAGAGGTAGGAGGGAGCAAGGCCGTGAATGGCCTTGTAGGTGAGGATGAGGATCTTGAATTTGAACCAGGATATTAATTAAATGTTTCAAGCCTTAGAATACGTTCTCTTCACTTTGACCAATTTAGCAGCTTCACTACAAATATTCTTTCCGAATTCTCACAGAGGTTTGTTCAGTTATGAATTGAAAATGAAGCCATTTTTTCTATCCTTTTTTCTAATGGATATTAATATGGTCACATTTCATATAATGCCTATATGCCTTGATCCCAGATTTATTGGATGACAAGGTCCATTTGATCTCATCTTTTGAATGTACATAGGTTTACATTTCGGACTATCTATCTCTCATGAAATTTGACTATGGAGATTTGACAACACTTATTGATTTCAAAATTAAATGAGTGCTTAATAATCTATATTCAAACAATCTGTATTGTGCAAGTTGTTTTTCTGTGAACATGGTTCCCTGTTTCTTGAAACAAGCTGATGTAAATCCTGCTGTTGGCCCAATGGATTTTTGGGAAGAATAAGGCTTCAGTCCCTTTCTATTTTGCACTGTACCTAAGGTATTTTATGTGGCTGTGAGAAGCATGTTTAATTTAGTCCTTACTATTCCAAACTGACCTGTTTTTAAGAGTTTAATTTATTTTAACTTTGATGCTTTTGTCGAAAGACGAATCTCAGGGAAACCCTTTTGTAGTAAGGGATAGAACTGCAGCTTACAGTATGTTCACTGGTCTGAATCTGTCTGCTGAGTTTACTGATCTCAGCTTGGGTTGCATGGAGAGGTTTAATTAGCCACCACCTTCCCAGGGATAGAGAGGGGAAAGCCAGCCAGGAACCTTGCTCCTCGACTCTACACCACCTTTTATTACTGTAAGTGCGCATGTGTGGCAGCCAGTTGGAGAAAGGTCAGGCTCATCTGTGATGCCTTCCACAGTCCAGTTGCATGCCGACACTTAGACATGAATAATGGCGGGGGGGTGGCGATACTGAAGAGTGATCAGTGCCTGTGGAATCGCATTCCAGCAAGAGGAGGTCAGATGAAGAGAGGATTCCTGCAGCTAAGAGGTTAGAGCACTGGCCTTGCAAGCGAGGGGACCTGGGTTCGATTCCCGACAGGGCGAAATGTTTCCTTACTCCACACGCCTCTGTTTACCCAGCAGTAAGTAGGAACCCGGTTGTTAGCCGATTGGTGGATTGGTTTTCTGGGGGTAATAATTCCTTCAAAATAAATTTAATTATTTGGTCACTCAAATAACGACTGTGGGACATTGCTGTGTGCAATTGGCTGCCGCGTTTTTGCCACAAAATATACAGTCAATACACTTTACAGTGTATTCTGCGAAGCGCTTTGAGACATCTCGACGACATGATAAAGTGCTAAATCAAATGCAAGGATTGTTATTATTAGAGGCAGATAAAAATTCGAACAATACATTTCTAAACAAAAAAACCCTGTAAATCCCGGCAGTTTTAAGCTGTTGGAGAGGTAAACTATGAGACAGAAAAGGGCAAAATACTTCAGGTGGGGGAGGGGCAGGTGAAAGGATGGTAGTCATTGCTTTTGGGCCACTGTGGTTTAGGAAAGTGAAGCTAGGTCATTCCTTATGTGAACAGCGATTGGAAACAGCGATAAAAAGGTGTGAGAAGGACGTTTTTCATCAGCTCCTCAGGATTTGTATCGGCTGCACTGGCAAACGGGAATTCAAACATATCACTGGTATGAGGCATGAACTGTCTTGTTTCATAACCATTGTATTTTTATAAGGGGCCATTTGTCCTGAGTACTAGTTCTTGGCAAGTAAACAACTGACTTAATTAAGTTTTAGATTTTTCAATAAACAGTCATGCCAAATGGGAAGAGACCTCAAAACCGTTTCCACAGTGCTGCTCTCAAATGAACTTTTGAATTCATCCCATAAAGCAGTGAAAGGGTATGTAAAGTACAACAGTGTGTAATGTACTGCGTGGTGGAAATGTGCCAGTTTGGCACTCTCACCTCTGAATCAGAAGGTTGTGAAGCTCTGTGTGCAATTTGAGCTTGGTGTCGGGACTGACACTCCAGGGCAGTGTTGGGGGAGTATACAGTCTGCCAGGGGCTGGCCTTTGAATGAGACTTTGAACAGGATCATGTCTGCCTGCCCAGGTGGATGCTGCACATCTACAAGAATTTGTTACATGAATCTGTTAGCAACAACAACAACAAGATTCCATTTATAGAGCGCCTTTCACGTCGGGAGGACGTCCCAAGGCGCTGGACAGTTGGGTCAGGACCCGAGCAGGGGGGAAATGGTCAGGGTGAGGGGAGGGAAGGGAGGGAGCGAGGAGGGGGAAGAGAGTCGAGAGGGGAGCTGAAGGCACGGTCAAAGAGAAAGGTCTTGAGACCGGCCTTGAAGGAGGAAAGGGAGGAGGCGGCGAAGGCACTGGGGGATGGAGTTCCAGAGCCTCGGGGCTGAGAGCCTGAAGGCCCGGCCACCGATGGTAGGGCGGTTGGGGCGGGTGATGTGAAGCAGACCGGAACCAGAGGAACGGAGGGTACGGGCAGGTAAGTGGGGGGATAGTAGGTCGGAGAGGTAGGAGGGAGCAAGGCCGTGAATGGCCTTGTAGGTGAGGATGAGGATCTTGAATTTGATCCTCTGGGGGATGGGGAGCCAGTGGAGGCGAGCGAGGGTGGGAGTGATGTGGTCCCGAAGCCTGGTGCGGGACAGTACACGAGCTGCAGAGTTCTGAATGACCTGCAGTGTGGAGGGAGGTGCCGGGAAGGCCGGCGAGGAGAGAGTTCCCATAGTCCAGCCTTGAGGTGATAAAGGTGTGGACCAGAGTTTCAGCAGCGTGAGGGGTGAGGTAGTGCCGTAGTCTGGCGATGTTCCGGAGGTGATGGAAGGCGGTGCCAGTTGTGGCGCGGATATGAGGAAGAAAGGACAGCTCAGGGTCGAACAGAACCCCGAGGTTCCTGAATGGCTTTGAGAGGTGGAGAGTGCAGCCTTGGATGCTGATGCTGTCAGCACCTGAGGAGCCAATCAGGAGGGCCTCAGTTTTGCGCACGTTGAGCTGAAGAAAGTTGTCTCTCGTCCAGGACTCGATGTCAGACAGGCAGCTGTCAGGACATCGGTGGTCGTGGAGTTGAGGGTAGAAGAGGAAAGGTAGAGTTGGGTGTCATCTGCATACATGTGGAAATTAACCCCATGTCTGCAATCCTATAGGTAAATTTGCCACTCACTTTCTGGCTATTTGTGAATTTTGCTGTGGGCAAAATGTCTGCCAGGTTTGCCTACAAATGCACAACCACTACACTTGATAATAATCATCTATTATATTAAATGTAAAATACTACAGATGCTGGAAATCTGAAATAACAACAGAAGTCGCTGGGAATACTCAGCAGGTCAGCAACATCTACGGAGAAAGGAAAGTGAGTTAACGTTAGCTGCTGAATTTGTCTAAATAGTTCCTAAACTTCAAAGTAACTCATTGAGAAATCTTCACATACAGCCAGTAAAACTAACTAGTGGAATACGACATATAGCAGAACAAACAAATGAATTGAAAAGTCTGAGCATTGGTACTGGACAAAGTGAGGTACAGGCACTGATGCCACTGGCAGTTCAGTCCTGCTTTTCTTTTGAACTTCGATGAATGAAGCGTGGTATTATGTGAACTTGTAGTCTTCGTGGTTGACATGCAGAGGTTATGTTTGTGGAATATTTGGGCCAAATCCATCGCTAACATACCAGCATTATTCAATTCCAAATCATGTGCCCATCTGACTTTTTGTGGTGCAACATCAGATTTTATGTTGTGTTGTTTTATTCTCCTCTTTCACATACTTTTGCAACTTAGGGGTATCCTCCCCATGAACTGGTCATTTATCTCATGGCTTTTTGGGATGTGGCTGGTATAAATGGCTGCCAGGCCTCCCAACATGAAAGGAGCTATACAAAGCACTGCTACACTTGGCAGGAATTACTTCTGAAGCACTTTGAGACATTTTGATGCGATCAGATAAAATAAAAATGCATTTCTTCTTGTAAGGCTCTCATAATTCTTGTAGATTTTTAGATGAATATTCTACAGGAATCAAAATATTCTACTAAAAAAGTAATGCAAAATGTTGGCAAAAGCTTGATATTTGATCAGTGTACTTTTCAACTCTACTGCCTTGTCCTTGCCCTTGTCCACAAGTGTCCTTGTGTTGGACACTTTAGTAATGTTGCACAGTGACAGTTCCTGTGGAACACTTCATACTAGTGCTTGCCTTTTCAAGTGATTTCCCCGAAATTCAGTGTGTTATTTTGCAGCCACTTATGCCTCTTTGATAGATTGTCCAGAATGGATTTCAAAAGCATAGTCAACCAAAACGATTTTGCACACATTGCATTGTCGTTATAACATTCACTCCAGTTAGTAGATACTCTCTGGGTACAGGTCTGTAGCACATCACTGGCTGTAGTTTGGAATTGTTACTGTAAAATATAATTGAGTTTTCACTCACCTTCACAACTGTTATTTTCAGCAGTCGTATTTCTAAGCTATGTGAATCTGAAAGGTGTATAGTTCATCCTGTTTAAAATGATTGGTTTTGAACTCAGTTTCACTTTTCTTTTTTCTTTTGAAACCAGGGAATTGTGGCTAATTTCTGAAAGCAGCCATGAATGATGGGAAATCGGTGTGGGCTCCGCACCCAGCAGATGGGTTCCAGTTGGGTACGATCATTGACATTGGTGCTGACACATTAACTATTGAGCCTTTGAATCAAAAGGGAAAGGTGAGTACTTGAACTCTTTGTGTGTTTAAGTAAGAAGGGTGAATAAATTGTCATCCGTAGTTTGAGAAATTGGCGTGCTTGATCTGAATTTTCACAATGATTATAATGCATGTTTGTTGTGTGAATGTTAACTGAACAAACTTAGAAAATCTGGCTCAAGGGTGCAGTGAGTGTCCCCGACTTGTGAGATGTGGGTTCAATCCCACTCTCAGTTTATATCGGTTGATCAATGAATTGAAGTCGGCGAGAAGTGGTTGACATTTTCAACAATAGATTGTTGTACTTGAAGCAGATGAAAGTATTATGCATCGAATTTAATACGAAAATGTTCATTATATTTGAAAAATATGCATTGTTCTTTGGGAAGAGAGAATTGGCTTAACTCAAAACACATCAAGGCATTTTTATTTGGCCAATGTTATCCCCTCATTCTCTTGCGTTGGTGTCTTGCTGGCAGGATTGGTAGCAATCCTGGGATCATACCCCAACAAGACACCAACATGAGAGAATGAGGGGATAGGTATAAAATGCAACCATTTTTCATGTGAGGTTTGAGTGCAATCAGGGTGTTTGACCTTGGCATGGGGGGAAGAGGGGGTGAGTATCACTATCAAGCCTGACCCTGATTGAGCTCAGTGTCCACGCTTACATGTGGTCAGCACTTCAAAGATCACTAGGTCACAACTATCTTCACTTCCTGCCAACTACACATAGAACGTACAGGAAGTGTCGCGAGTGGCACTTCCTTATTATGACATGCAGACGCAGCATGCAGGAAGTGAGATGGAACAGGACCCATAATCAGGGCTATCAGCACCAAGGAGCAGAAAGTGTAGTGTGCTTCCAGTAATCACAGGTCCAAGGTTCACCCATACTCTAAGCAGACCCACGGTAAAACAAGGCGTATTATAATGGAGTTGACATCAAGATCCTCACATTCATGTTCAAATCCCTTCACTCTCTGGCACCTCCCTACCTCTCCAACCTGAGGACCAGGACCTTGAACTGTATCCTCTGTGTGATGGGAAGCCAGTGGAGTCGGGCGAGGATGGGGGTTGATAAGAGTCACGGAGCCTGATGCGGGAGAGGATATGGGCTGCAGAGTTCTACAGCCTATGGAGGGAGTTGTTGGGGAGATCGACAAGCAGGGAATTTGCATAGTTAAGCCTGGATGTTATGAAAGCATGTATGAGGGTTTTGGCGGCCTGTAGTGTAAGATAGTGACGGAGCCGGGCAATGTTGTGGAGGTGGGGGAAGGCAGAGCGGGTCATGGCAAGGATGTGGGGTAGAAAGGATAGTTGAGGGTCAAACAAGACGCCAAGGTTCAGGACTGGCTTAGCAAGGTGGAATGTGCATTCTTGGATGGTGAAGCTGTCAGCGCCTGAGGTGTGGCAGCTGATCTGTTGGAAGCTGTTAGTTGAGTTTTGTGCTCACTATATACTTGCACAAACATATTACAGCTAATTTTCTAGTGTTTGCTATGCAAAGATGCACCCTTTGAATGGCGGGTTAGACACAAAAACACTAGTAATGAAGGAGCTGAAAAGGAAACAAATAATAAAAATGAAAAGCTTAGCACTGAGAAATAAGATTCAAAAGTAAAGACATTTTACAAAAGAACCAAATCAATTGTATCAATTTGTGGTCGTGTATAGGTTGTCACAGTGGAAGTGGCAGGTTTTGTCATGAATGTAAAATAATCGTAAAAATCCTTGCCTTTTATATAGTGACTTTCAGGTCAGGTGATTAGTTTCGCTTGATATTTGCACTAAGATACCTTCCAGATTAGATACATTAAAAAAAAGTAGAACTTCAGGTTGGACAGAGAATTGCCTGAACTAGTTAGCAGGACAGGTTCCAACAAACTGTTGTTCATTCAGGTTTGTTATTAAGTCAGGAGCCCAGGGAGGAGTTAGCCAGGATTTGCATAACCTTCTCCATCACCAGGTTCCATGGTCACACAGTTGAGCTTCTGACCACGTTTTTGTATCTGAGTATCATCCATAAATACACAGTCACTTTGCTTTGTGAGGGCCTCCTGATGTGAAAGGAACTATACCAAATGCAAAGATTTTTACTACTATTAGAATTTGGTTCTATGTGGAGGCTGAATGCATGAGGAAAAGCATTCCAACACTGTATTTTCAGTACAAGTGAATGTAAAGCTTTCTCCCTCTCTATTTTCTCTTTCTCCCATTCAAATGATACACCTGAATTTCCTAGTCTACCTTGTAATGCCCCACAAACAGGAATTAAGTGAATGATTGTTTTATCTTATATTTTTGGTGAGTTTTGAGATGAGAGGCTATTGGCCAGAATAACAACAGAGCTCATTGTTCTTGTTCAAAAGTTGGGCTGTGGCATCTTTCACATCCACTAAAACAGGCAGATAAGACCTTGGGTTTAGTATTTCACTCTAAGAACAGCACCTCGAGTAGTGGAGCACTCCCTGAGTCCTGACAGGAGTATCAACAAGGATTACTATACTACTTTGCTTTACAGTTTCCCTTCAAGGCAACTTGTTGCATTAAGTTCTAATTGGTGTATTGTTTGAGCATTTACACTGAACATCCTATTCAAATGATTTCACTGAGAAATTCATCTCTATTAGTCACCATGTCACGGCATCTCTATCAGATGTGAAGAACACAATGTGCAGTGTAAAAATCAAGAGCTCAGCCATTCTTGGTTGAGTGTGAAGAGAGATTGCTTTGAGTGTGTCGCTCATGGTTTAGTACTTCCACAGAGTTGTCTTTCAACCTCCCCAGATCTACACCATGGCCCCTCACAGAGTGGGGCAATAGCATTGTGTCTGATCCCTCGCTTCCACACATTGTCTGTGCAGTGCGAACATTGTCTTTGGCCCTGGAGGTCTTTTCAGATGAGTGAGATTTGGGTATCATTATTGGATGTTGATGGTGGTGTTCCAACGTTTTGGGAAATTTGCAGTAAGGAACATGGAAGCAGCAATGTTATGTTTGAATTCCCAAGAAGAGACAAGATATCAGACTGTCTCACTTGGCAGTTCTCTCATATCTGAGTCACATAGGAAATCAGGAGCCATTCAGCCCATTGAGTCTGTTCCACAGTTGTTAGCTTTTGGCAGATCTTTTAATCTCACTGCCCCACCCTTTCACCATACTCCTTAGTAGCTCCACAACAGTTATCTGTCCATCCACTTTTAAATCTCTGTATTGATTCTGTCTCTGTAGCTTTCTGGCAGAGTATTCCTGGCCAACGGTCCCTAGAGAGAGAGTAAAAATTGGGCATTCACTTCAGATTGTGGCTGTTTGTGGAAGCAAGTTGGCTACTGTTTTTGCCTAGACATGTACAGTAACTACACTGAAGTTCTCATACTACCGCCCATTTCCAACCTTTCCTTCCTTGCTCAAGTCCTCGAATGCATTGTCGCAGGTCCTCTCTATCTGTGACCAAGGCTCCCTCTGCCTCCTCGTCCTCCTGGATCTCTCTGCCGTGTTTGACATAGTCGACCACACCAACCTCCTCCATCGGCTCTCCTTGTTTCGAGTCCTACTTAACCAACCACCTCCATTTCATCTCGGCAATTGGTTTTTCCTCCCGCTCCCACCCAGTGCAGGGTACCCCAGGGCTCCATTCTTGGCCCACTTCTTTTCCTTATCTATATGCTACATCTTGGCAATGTCATCCGCAGACATGGGATAAACTTCCACAAGTATGGGGATGACAATAATAATAATAATAATAATAATCCTTGCATTTGATATGGTGCTTTTCCCGTCTTCTAGACGTCTCAAAGCGCTTCACAGAATATACTGTAAAGTGAATTGACTGTATATTTGTGGGCGAAACGCGGCAGCCAATCGCGCACAGCAGTGTCGCACAAACAGTCGTGGATTGAGTGACCAAGTTATTTTTTTCTTGAGGGATTATTATCAAGCGTGTGAGGACTCCACAATGGGATTAATTAATAAATTAAGAAAATATTTCTGCTTATGAGTGTGACTCGTGAAATTTATAAGCAGTCAGATTGACTTGTGCAATGTTAACTGTAAAGAAAAATGATCTGTGTATTCCAAGGAAGGCTGGAATTCTCCCCTCTCAACTCAAACCCACCTCTGTAATCAGCGCAGATCATGAATGTTAATATCGAATCCAATGCCTATTTTTAATACAGTTTAATATTGTAGAGGTAGTCTGTGAAATTCTTGAAACCTCATTGAAGATCAAATCTGCAAAAAGCACAAACTACCTTGTGGCCACATCGTACACACACCCTGATCTGAACCTTACCCACTGCAGAGGCTGCACTAGAAGGTCAATATTTACATACTACTTTGCCTCCTCCAGCACCGACTCCAGCTTCGCCGATGTTTTATTAATTTGTCTGACAGACATCAGGGCCTGCATGAGTGCAAACTTCCTGCAGCTGAATGTGGACAAGACGGAAACCATACTCGTTGGCTCCCGTCAATATCTTTACTCCTGCAGATCTGAACTTCTCAACCTCCCTGGGCTCTCCCTCAGACTCACCAAACCAGTGCACAATCAAGGCATCCGGTTCGCCCCCCAGCTGTCCTTCCTCCCCACATCCGGTCCTCACCAACACTGTCATCCTACTCCTCTGCCACATTGCCTGCTTCTGACCGTACCTTACTCCAAATGCAGCCGAAACCCTCGTGCATGCGTTTGTCACCTCCCACCTGGATTACTCCAACGCACTCCTCGCCGGTCTCCCCAGCTCATTCACAAGATCCAGCTCATTCAGAACTCTGCTGCCCGCATACTGACCCGGACCAAACTCGGTACCCCATCTCACCAGTTCTGGCCAGGCCACCGGCTCCCTATCACCGAACGGATCGACTTCACAGTCGTGCTCAAATCTGTTCACTCCCTGGCACCTCCCTACCTCTCCAACCTCCTCACTCCCCAATCCACCACCCGGTTCCTCCGCTTGACTGGCACCGGCCTCCTGCTCGTCCCTCGCACCCTCCGCTCCACCAATGGAGGTCGCGCTTTCA